CACTAGTCAAGTCTAGTCTATCACTTTTTGTTGCATGTCTGTGTCTCTCCTTGTCAGTCTATCTCAGTTAGTTTGTATATCTCTCTCCCTTTCGCTCTAACTCTGTGTCTGACTCCCCCTGAACTCTTTATCTTCGAGTGTCTGTCTTGCTATCTCGGTCTGTTACTCTTTACTGACTTTACTCTTAAACTTAAGTTCATACAGTTACAGCTACTGCTAGAGGAAAAAAACAACTAATATTGGGCCAAAATTGTAAGAAGCACATCAGAAACTTAGAAAGTATGATTTTATATCTGATTTTCAGTTTAAATTCTAAATAATATATTTTTTTAATGATAGTTACAGGCATGATCCATATTCTTATATTAATAGTTTAAACAAAAATAATTTGCCTAAGGCAGGGTCATTCGTAAATCACATCACGTTAAAAATAAACTTTTTAGACACCCCCTCCCCTTGTCACGAAATGTCACAAATTCTCCCCCTACCCCCTTGTCACATCACCTAAAAAAACTCAAAACATACATAAAATTTTCATAACTAAACTAAGATATTATTTTATTCTTCAACATTTTCCCATAATGCAGCAGTTCTAAACCTGTGGGTGGCGACCCCTTTATGGGTCGAATGACTCCTTTAAAGGTGTCACATAAGACAATCGGCAAATGCATATCCTCTACAGTTATGAAGTACTAACAAAAACAATTTTATGGTTGAGGGTCGCCACAACATGAGGAACTGCATTCAAGGGTCGCGGCATTAAGAAGGTTGAGAACCACTGCTATAATGATAAGATGCAGTATTACTAGAAAACCGAGTTTCATGGTACCATACTATAATACCTGAGGCAAAGTTGACCTCAAATTAATGTTTTAAAAATCAAAAATTAAATTTTGATTTTTTTTTACGAATTAGAAACTTTTAGAGATGAAAAAAAGTGACGTCACAATTTTGACCCCCCCCCCTTCCCCCTCCCAAAATGTGTCGCATATTCTCAACCCACCCCCTCTAAGCGTGACGTAATTTGCCAGTGACCCCTTAATGTGAAAATTTACTTATAAAAAAGTTTTAAATAGATATTTAGCAATGATCAAACCTTGATAAATTACTACAAGGGAAAAAACGGCAGAGTCCATTTTGACCCCACTCTCTACTATAAAGAAATAAATCATGTTAAATTCAAGTTTGAATTAATTTATCTACTTAATAACTCAGGGAAATGGACACTCTTGTGAAATGCATTTTAAAAATTACATTTTGTTTACACATTTTTAATGTGCATGGTTTTGAACTTTAAAAATCGAATATCTCAAAACAACAAAAATGTGACTCTGCTGTTTTTTCCCTTGTGGTCTTCATATATATATATATATATAAGTAAAATGTGTTTTTACAATATTTTAGATTAGTATAAAGAAAATAGCTCCTTATTGAGACAAATTAAAGTAATCAAATTATGGTATAAAAAGCTTTAGTTACTTTTTTTTAAAATAATTTGACATACGACTACAATAACAGTTTACCAGAATCAATTTTTTTTTTACTAAAGACGAATTGTGGAACATATGATTTATAACCATGAACGCGAGATTTAACTAATTGTATTTGAAAGATGTTCTTATGTTAAAACATGAAATGATTATATTTTAAACAGGTTCCAATATTTGTTGATTTTTTTTTTTTGGTTACGATACTATTTTATAAAAGCAAAGAGAGATGCAATCACAATATCATCTTTCAAAAAGGGTAAGAAAATAAACAAGGAAAAAATTGTTTCTATATAAATGTGCATGCATTAAAAATAAATGTAATGAAACATTTGCATCTTGAAAGTGTATGTCCATTCGGTGCATTGATTTAATCACCATATGTTGCCAATGGTGAAAAGGGGGATATAATTAGCAGTAGTTTTTGGGAATGGGTCTCTCAACGGAGGAAAGATTATTAATCGTTGAGGATGATTTTAATTCACTTGTAACTTTATAAGTCATCGGAAAATGGGACCATGTTTGGAAAAAAAGCTGTCAGAACAATGCGAGAGAGACTTAATATGACGGCACCAAGTAGCACAGTTGTGTCTTTAATTGTTACAACATGTAGCTGTCTTTTAAAAGTGGACTTTGTTAGTGGAAGGGATTTCTGGTCGAACAGTAAATGTGTCAGTGGAAGGGGGAGTCTGGTCAACCAGTAACTGCGTCAGTAGAAAGGAAAGTCGTTTCACCAGTAACTGTTTCAGTGGAAGGTGGAGTTTGGGCGACCAGTAACTGTGTCAGTGGAAGGGGGAGTCTGGTCGACCTCTCAGTAGTTTGATGAATGATGATCACGCAAGATTTCTACTGGAGCTGCCTTGGCCACTACGACGTCTACGTCGAACACGATTGAAACTGAACAACAGCGATGCATCCATTTGCCAGCGGATTAAGACGCAGGACATTTTCTAATCGGATACATGTTGGACAACACTAGACGTAGCCAGCTGCGCGAGCCAGGGTGATGCATCGTGGAGAACGGCTGCGACGATCCACATATCCATAGAAACGTTTGACCTTCGCAGTAAGGTAACATTCGCTTATTGGTCTCTCCCTAGCTTAGAAACTGCAGAAACGATACGGAACGTTAGCTCTTGAAAGTTTAACTTGAATTTTTGTCCTGCTATTATTTACACATGTTGTACTGTTCAATATCATTTTTATGTCTGACAAATTTAACGCCATGATTGAATTTGTAAATGATTAACAAGCATCAATTTGGCGGTTGAGTCAATGCTAACTTCATTTCATCATCTAACTTTATTTTTTGATAACTTTTTTTTAAAAATAAGTTTTAAAAATTCACTCAAAAAGTCATGTGTAGTAGTATTAAATGGGGGCATTATTTGTTTGTTTTTTTTAATTTTCTACAGCAATTAAAATATTTCTTTAAAAACTTTTAAATAAAATTTGTCTGGTGTTTACCTCAAAATAATGCACTGTAATATTTACGTTTGTCTTTCATAGTTTTATCGTTGGGAAAGCAAGTCATTTGTGAATAGATTGATCAGAGAATACAATTCATGCACACAGATACCATACTGTCCTCGACGGACGTGTCAGTATCTCTGTTGAATGTAACTCACGAGAACTTCTACTAAGTATAACATATAAAAATATATAACATAAAGAGGTCAGGAGCGATCTACCACGATGCTCGTCGTTGTGAACACTTGACTGCTGGTTGTTTTCACCATATCAGTGAATCTCAACCTGCCGTGCGTGTTCCATTAGTGGTAAATGACATTGGCTATGTTTTAGTGGGTAGACACATGAGTTATGAGTTTGAGAATTAGACATATTAAGTCAAAAAACAAAAATAGTATATGTTAGAATATGACATTAAGCGTTATCATCAAGTGGTTAAAAAGAAAAAAGAAATTTTTAGAACCACCGGCTTTATGATAATTGACACATTTTATCTTCACATGCAAAAAATATCCTATACTGTGATAAAATAAAACCGTATTAAAGGTGTGCTGTTTTTTATTTAATTTTATATATGTCTTTATTTCATAAATTCAGAAGGAAAAGATAAAGAAAAAAAAATGGTTGGGGGAGGGGGGAGGATGGTAAGGGATCCAAGGTTTTGATTGGACGATTTAACAGGCAGTACATTTGTATCATACGTGCAAGTAAAGATTTTTATTATAATGTTTTGTTGCTTGTTTTTAAAAATGGTGCATTCAGGGGTTCTAATTTTATAATGGAACAAAGGCGTTTGTGCTGTTAGACACTTTTTTTTTATGGATGACTAATAGTAAAAAGGGAGACAAATGATCAACTTTATGTGTGTGTGTGTGTGTGTGTGTGTAAAGGGGTGGGGGTGACAAGTTGTCTAAGGCGAATATGTTCCCAGAACCATTAAAAGGGATTTAACAAATACGTTAAATACTATTCTGTATTTCTCTTAGTTGTCTCCCCAAATTTATTTGTGTGTCCCCCTTAAGAAGCTGATCTAAGAATTAAATAATTCCTAAAATTAGATCACCTTGTCGTAAGAGGGTCAACAAGACATCTCGGGGTTTTGTCGACCAACGTGAGTTGAAAGTCTGTACACAGCTTCATCTCGTAAATACATTTCATGTATGAATATGTGATGGAAGACAAATGTAGACCTAAAAATAATTAATATGTGTGTTATTACTGTTGCAATAGGAATTAA